CCTAAGAAGCAACCATTAGCTACCTTTGTAAGCTCGGTGGTAACTCGTAATCAATCACCGATGGAGAAATCAACGCAAGAAATGACCCCACCACCGTCAGTCCCAATTGCAGATCCAGCAACAAATGGAGGCACTGCATGTGAATATGGATCTTCATAGACAAATCTTGGTATTTCTAAGAGGCTAGATCTAAGTACCCCAGTAACAATTGGTCGATTAGCAAATTCTCCACCAGTACCAGTCAATGGAACAGTAAATCTGGTAAACCAAGCTCAAAATCAAGTAAGTATCCAAAGCCCATCAGAGAAATCAGCAGTAGAAGAGGTGGCGATAACAAATGAGGCTACTAGACCTAAAGCTCCATGGACAACTCTGTTTCAAAAGAATAGATTTGCCACCAGTGGTATGTCAATATCCTATATTCCACCACAAATTGTTGATGGCCAACATATGGTTCAATTAGATAAATTAGAGGTAGAAGAGGAAGAGAACAAATGGAGATGTGCGTTGATAGCATATATCATAGGTGATGGACTCGGGTATAACGCAATGAAGCGATATATCAATTTGCATTAGTCACATTTCCCTGAACCTGAATTGTTCTACCATGATGAAGGCTATTATACCATTAGATTTCAATCTGTAACAGATGCTCGAGAGATATTACGTGCTGGCCCTTACTCATGTGATGACCCGATAGGTCATCTTATGATTTAAAACCAAATCTGTGTTCCGAGGCCTTTAAAACCCCATTTTATCCCTCCTCGATTTGCGTGCACAATCCGAGCGTGATTCCGGAAAGCTTTTGTGTTGAAAGTTGATAAAAATAGAGATTTTTTATTAAAAACTTCATTTGAGTTGACTTCGGTCAACATTTTTGGTAAACGGACCCGGATTTGTGTTTTGACAGTCCCGGTGGGTCCACATCAAAATATGGGACCTGGGAGTATGCCCGGAATCGGATTCGAAAGTCCCTAGCCCGAGTTATGAATTTTTGTTAAAAATTGTAAGTCGGAAAAATTTAATGGTTTTTAAGAAATTATTTATGCTTGATCTTGTTGGTATCAGGTCCGTATTTTAGTTCCTGAGCCCGGTACAGGTTCAATATAATATTTAAGTCTTGTCTGTGAAATTTGGTGAGAAACGGAGTTGGTTTGACGTGATTCGGACGTCCAGTTGTAAAATAGGAATTTCAAAGTGTTCTTGAGAATTTCATTTAATTTGGTGGTAAATTTGTAGTTCTAGGTGTTATTTTGGCGATTTGATCGCGCGTGCAAGTTCGTATGATGTTTTAAGACTTGTGTGCATGTTCGGCTTGGAGCATCGCCGAGGGCTCGGGTGAGTTTCGGATAGGCTACGGAGTGGAAATAGGACTTAGAACACTGTTGTGCATCAGATTTTTTATTGCAGGCCTTAGACCTCGCAAATGCGAGGTCAAGCACCGCATTTGCAACCACTATTAGGTTCGCATTTGCGATCCACTCATCGCATTTGCGAAGAGTGGCTGAGAAGGCCAGCATTCGCATTTGCGAACAATAGTTCGCATTTGCAAACTGGGACAGGAGGAGCCAGTCTTCGCATTTGCGACCATTGGATCGCATTTGCGACCAGCTTAGTTCGCATTTGCGAACTTTTCTTCGCATTTGCGAACTTTTCTTCGCATTTGCGAAGATGGAAAGAATATGAGGATCTTCGCAAATGCGATGGATTTCTCGCATTTGCGGGCTTCGCATTTGCAAAACCCAGGTCGCATTTGCGACATCTGAAGCTGGTAAAAGTGACTTAGACGAGATTTTTCTCCCATTCTTCAAATTTTCAAAACCTAAAACACAAGAGGCGATTTTCCAAAAACCTTTTCTTTCTCAAATCATAGGTAAGTAATTCTAAACTAGTTTCTTTCAATCTTTCACTTCATTTTACAAGATTTCAACTTTATAATCTAAGATTTCCATGGTGAAATTGGGGGTTTTTGAGTAGAAACTAGGAATTTGATAAATTGGGGGTTTAGATCTCAAATTGAGGTCGGATTCCAAAACTAATTGTATATCCGGGCTCGAGGGTGATTGTGTAATTGGGTTTTGGTCCGAATTTCAGGTTTGGACCAAGCGAGCCCGGGTGTTGACTTTTGTTGACTTTTTCAATAATGGCCCAAATTGAATTCTTATCGATCGTGGGTGATTCCTAAGGCTTATTTTGAAATGTTTGGTTGGTAATTTTCTAGATATTGTTGGTTCGGAGGCGTGTTTGAAAGGCAAAGCTGTGATTGAGCTTTGAGTGTTCTTTGGGGCAAGGTAAGTGTTGTATCTAACCTTGACTTGAGCTTTGAGTGTTCTTTGGGGCAAGGTAAGTGTTGTATCTAACCAAACTAAACCAAGAAAAGAAACCTTGTTCAATATAGAGTCTACACAAATAATACTACACAGCAAGACCAAACCAGCAATTTTCAGTTAAAAGGGTACAAACAAGTCAAATTAAGCAAATAGTAGGGATTAGGGGAAACTATGAAAAGAGCTAACATGATTAACAAGGAAACAGTGATTAACACGTAGCAATTTAAGCATGGAAAGCATTTAGAGCATGTAACAATTAAGATAGGAGGGAAAACAATTAAGGAAAAGTGATAAATCAGGGAAAACAGATAATTCGGCGGCGTATAAGCACTCGTCACCTAATCCCCTCAAGTCAAGGTTAGATACAACACTTAGGAACAAAGTAGATTCTTTAGTGTCATCTGTAAATAGGTATGCTTTGTTTTGCTTTTTATTCTTGAGATAGTCAGCTGAGTTAGCTTGGCTATGGGTTTGTACAGATCTTCTTTGGTGATTAATAAAAAAGAAAGTTAATTACCAAAAAAAAAGTGATAGCCACAATATAAAAATAGAAATAAATTTCTTTTTTTTCGGTTGGACAAATTGACGAATTAGTTCGGGATTAATGCATAGTTATGGATCGATGTATATAACTTTGTTTAAAACTGAACAAAGAATGCAAATATTTTGAGTTGAGAGCATGGTATGTACCCGTACTCCCCAGGTTTCGAACATGATAGACTCAATCTCAAATTCAATAAAGATTTACAATACATATATAGGATGTACTCAATGTGGATGAGCTACCTTACCCAGGGGAGGATCAATGTAAAAGGTTGGGGTGTTACGCCACTCGGACGCATCAATTGAAACTATGTGTATCGTTGAGCTCTAAAGAATCTCCAGTTCAGCTTCAACGGAGGAAAGCTCGAAGCTTATGGAGAATCGATTGAAAGAAGAAGAAAGGAGAAAGTAGAGTTGGAGTTTTGACTTTGAGGAATGAAAACTCAAATCTCATTATGTTGTAATGCGTCAATTATATACAGAAATCACGACTAACTAGCCAATTGAAAATTACAATTAGGCTACAGTTAATAACTAACTAATGACAGCTAAACTACAGTGTTAACTACCCGCCTCCTGAACGTTATAATGCCAACTAACTGAATAATTACATATACATATATTCTCAATACCCCCCTCCCTCCCTCCCTCCAAGTTGGAGGTGAGGGAAGCACAACCAACTTGCATAGAACAGCTGCATGTTTGATCCCGGTGAGAGATTTGGTGAGGATATCAGCTAGTTGATCACCAATCCCAATATGATGGAGTGAAACAAGACCTTCTTGTATCTTAGTTCTTACAAAATGATAGTCAACTTCAATATTCTTAGTCCGCTCATGGAACATAGGATTTCTAGTAATATGGGGAGCAGACTGGTTGTCGCAAAATACTGGAATGGGCAAGGTAGAGGGAATAATCAACTCTATAAGCACTCTATGCAACCAGACAAATTCACCAACTACCTTCCTGATAGACCTATATTCTGCCTCTGTTGAAGAAAGGAAATAGTCTCTTGCTTCTTAGATTTCCAACTAATGAGACTATTGCCCAACAGAACAATGTATCTTGACACTGACTTCCTAGGGTCAGGGCAAGCAGCCCAATTAGAGTCATAATAAGCACTAACTGAGAAGTCAGTGTCATTGGACATGAAGATTCCTAAGGTGGGATCTCTGATCAAATATCTAAGTATGTGATAAGTTGCTTGAAGATGAGGCTCTCTAGGATCTTTCATATATTGACTCAAGTGTTGTACTCCATAAGCTATGTCCAATCTAGTGTTCGTTAGAAAGTTTAACTTCCCAACCAACTTTCTGTAAAAGTTAGGATCAGACGGGGGCACTCCTTCCATAGCTTTCAATTTAACTGAAGGATCAAAGAGGAGAGGAGAGACTGGTGTATTAAAAATAGTCATACTCTTCGAGGAGATCAAGAACAAATTTTCTCTGAGAAAGGAAATCCCATCATTTCTGTAGAGCACTTCAAGTCCCAAGAAATAGTGTAGTCTCCCTAAGTCTTTGATTTTGAATTGCTCGTGCAAGAAGGTTTTCAGCATCTGAATCTCATCAAGAACATTTCATGTGAGCAAAACATCATCTACATAAACCCCCACAAAAAACTATACAATTGCCAGTCTTCTTGTAGAATAAAGAACAGTCATACATGGAGTGGTTGTAGCCCTTTGAGCACAATGCTTCAGTTAACTTAGCATACCATTGTCTACTGGCCTTCTTTAGGCCATAAAGTAACTTGTTCAGCTTGCAAACCAACCCTGGGAGGACACTACAAGACCCTATGGCAATTTCATATAGACTTTCTCATGTAGGTCCCCATGGAGGAATACATTATTTACATCCAATTGAAAGATCTCCCAGTGCTTCTCAGCAGCAGTGGCAATTAAGGCCCTAACTGTAGTCATTTTTACAATTGAAGAGAAAGTCTCTGTTTAGTCTATACCTGCATTTTGTGTATATCCTTTTACAACTATCCTGCTTTATATCTCCCTATACTTCCATGTGCTTTATGTTTAATCTTATACACCCACATGCAGCCTATGGCTTGTTTCCCAACAGGTAATGGGACCAAGTCCCAAGTATTATTGGCACGAAGTGTCTCAAACTCCATGGCCTATTTCCAGGCAGGATTACTAGCTGCTTCTTCATAGGAAAATGGCTCCCTGTCATGACAAATGCTTCTAACAACCCGCTGACTATCAGGATTCAAGACATCAGAAGTTATATGATTACTTTGTGAGATTAGAGCATTGAGGGAAAAGGATGAGTTTTTCTGGTTAGTTTTAGCATTATGAGATGGCTTCAGGTTAGGCATAGAACAAATATTATTAGATAAGTAAGATGGAACTTTAGATACCGTGTTAGATACTCTTTGGTTAATTTTTGGCACATGTGGATATGATGTATGTGGTGAAGATGATGAGGTATCATTGGAAGTAGGAGGTGAATGCATAGTGTGACTAGGTGACATAAAATTAGGAAAGACAGAAGAGCCCCCTGAAGAGTTTGTAACATACTGAGAATGACAAGCAAGATGGACATCAAAACAATCAGACTGTGCATTAGTAGGAAGCATTGAAGGGAAAGAAGTTGAAACTGATGAAAGAAAGAAAGGAAAGATGGACTCATGAAAAATAACATCTGGAGACACACATATCTTCCTGGTAGTTAGACTTAGCACCTTGTACCCTTTAACACCAAAAGGATATCATACAAATACATATGGAGTGGCCCTTTGGATCAAATTTATCCCTATGAGGCTTAGAAACAGTGGGATAGCACAGACACCCAAAACTTCTCAAGCATGAATAATTTGGTTTCTTCCCATAAAACAAATCAAAGGGGCATTTGTTCTTTAGGGGTACAGTAGGTAGTCTATTAATAAGAAAGGTTGCTGTCAACACACATTCTCCCCAATATTTCAAAGGGAGTTTGGACTGAAATAAAAAAGCTCTGCCAGTAGGTACGTGTTTGTTTTTTCTACTATGCCGTTTTGCTGGAGTTTACATGGACAAGTTTTCTGGTGTTCAATTCCTTTGGACTGAAAGAATAAGCTGGCTTCATTATTTATGAACTTCGGACAATTGTCAGATCGGATACATTTGACACTGGTATTGAATTGATTTTCAACCATGGAAATGAAACCCCTGATGATTTGTAATGCATTACTCTTTCAGCTGAGTAGGTGAGTCCAGGTTAACCTACTATAATCATCTACTAGGATAAGAAAATATTTGAAACTTTCATGAGTGGGTACATGATAAGGTCCCCACAAATCAACATGCAACATCTCAAATATGGCAGTGGTATTTGTAATTTTCAAGGGAAAGGAAAGTCTGGTTTGCCTGGCCATAGGACAAATGGAGCAAAAGAAAGGTTGTTTGGGTGCAAAAGATACTTGTATGTTAGAAACCCCCCTCATCTTGGCAACAGGTACATGGCCAAGTCTACAGTGCCAAACAGATTCATATAACTTGTATCAACTGAAGGTGAGTAAAAGTCATAAGTCCTATGATGTTCTAAACGTCAATACCACACAAGAAGGGGGGGTTGATTTGTGTGGCACCTAATTTTCGCACTAGAAGAACCTGGTTCTTCTAGATGTACTTACTATGACTGTTTGCGAAATTAAGAGTGCATAAAGTAAAGAACACAGAGATTTTTACGTAGAAAACACCTGGCTCAAAAGGTGAAAAAACCACAACCTACTACTCAGTAGGATTTTCCCAAACTTCCACTAAAATCACTGAGCCAAAAACAGCATTTACAAACTCTTGTATACCTAAGGATTAAACTCTAATCCCAGTGTGGCACACAGCCTCAACTGCTGGGACACTTTCAAGTTAACTCTAACTTGAATACTTAAAGTACCTATTACAATTGCTTCTAGATAAAGCTGAAAGGTACAATATGAAACACCTACTACAATTGAACTAGACATAAAGAAAAACACAATGGAATTGGTTCTTCACTCTTGGTTCATGTAGCTTCAGATTTGCACATTTGAATCACACATAAATTGCTTGCAAAATTCGCCTAGCTCTTTTGCTCTCAATTTAGTTTAACTTCTCCGTATGTGCAATCACCTGTAAAAGAGAACAATCTTTATTATTTATAGAGTTAGTAATCAGAGTTTGATTAAAACTTGAATTGCTGATCCTTCATCAAATTCGAGTCCTAGAACAACTCAAACTCCAATCCTTATCCTTGATCCGGGTGTAGGTCTCTTTACATAAGGAGACTTCAACTCCTTATCCTATGCAACCTTTTCGATCAACTCAGAAGATATTGTTGCTGATCCTTGAGACTTATCTTCTTCACACGTATGTCACATGTGTAAGCATATCAACACTGTGTCTCACATGATGGACCTGGTTCATGACTGAGTTCATTTTGTCAATCTTCAAAACTTCATCTGAACTTGGGCCAACATCCTATCTGTTTTATTGCAAGTGGAAGTATTTAGAATAGGAGATGGACTATTTACATGAGGACATGACTGAAAAGAATGAAAAAAAATAATGCACTGCATTATCAGGACTATTGTGGATGGAAAAACAGAAAACTGTACTCTTCTTTGCTATGGTTGGAACTTCCATAGTTCAAGCATTCTGAGCATAGAAGGTACAACCCATCATGGACCTTACCAATTTCTAGAGACCTCCTTAGAGAAGGGGCAGGTGTCAAAAAAAGAGGTTATACACTTGAGATGTGTTGTTAAGGAGCTGATAGATATAAGGTTGTACTAGAAGGAAGGAACAAATAGAATTCTATACAGAACAATCTTAGGTGTAAAGTGTCACATTTCCTACTCCTTTCACTTTGAATTTGTAGTCATTTGATAGTTTCACAAGTAAATGATAAGGTAGGGTAATTATATTCTGTAAGTGTGTCTTGTTAGAAGGTCATATGGTGTGAGGCTCCTAAGTCTAGAATCTACAAGTAAGCCTTTTCTTGAAAGCATTTACATGAGAGTTTGTCAAAATCAATGGAGCAAGTGCAAGTCACAATACCTGCAAGTTCACTGCTCCATTAACAATGTTTGTGCTGTTTGAATTTTCTCCTGCACCATCACTTTGGAAATGCTGCAGCAGCCTCACTACTTGTTCATATTGTTCCTTTGAAAGATTCACATTTTGGTTGCGGTGGCTTCCTTGGTGCTCCAGATCTTCTCCTTTGGTTGTCATCATATCCGATGGCATGCCCTGCGCACCAGTCACAACATTGCTGCAATACCTTTTCCTTTTGTTGTTCCTGGGATGTTGGTTATGATTATGTGTATTTGAATTGTAGTTCTGAGTTCCCTGTGTTGACTGAAATTTTGTGGATATCCATGAAGCTTATAGTATTTCTCTTTGGTGTGACCTGGCCTCTTGCAAAAGTGACAAAAGGTTCAAGGTCTGTTGTTGTTCACTGAATAATTTGTCCTGAAGTCTCTTGGCATTTTTGAGCCAACATTCATTATAGTTGACTCAAAATTCAGGTGGTTTCTAGGTTGGAATTTCCTTTGTTTTTCCTCCTGCACTAGTAAGGCAAAGACTTGCGCCATGGAAGGTAGAAGATTCATCATCAGTATGCTCCCTCGAACTATAGTATATACTTCGTTTAATCCCATAAAAATTGTATCAGATCTTCTGTCTTGTTCAGCTTTATGCATGTTTTCCTTTGCACCACAAGTACATTGACAACTATACAAAGATTTTGCACTGAGGTTGGTCAGTTCCTCCCATAGTTTCTTCATTTTAGTGTAGTATCCAGTGATGTCGGGTACCCCTTGACTTACATCATTAGTCTCTTTTTGGATTTGATAATGTTTTGCTCCATTTGTTTGATCATAACGATCCTCAAGTTCTCTCCACAAGTTGACTGAATTACTCACGTATTCCACACTATCTGCAATTTCTTTGGCAAGGCATTTAAAATCCACGAAGTCACCATATAATGACATCTCTCCCACTGCCTAAAATTTGTCGACTTTGAATCAGGCTTCTCACATTCCCCTGTGATGAAACCTAATTTGTTCGTAATTGAGAGGGCTCTGAACACACCTCTCCTCCACGATCGATATCCTATTCCATCAAAAGGAATTGGAACTAAAACTAGCCCAGGGCTATCAGAATGATGTATATAGAGTGGACTACTCAGATCGATTGCCGATTGGACCTCGACTGTTGTTGTAGTTATTGATTATGCACTTTGATCAACTACTGCCATGGTCGAAATGATCGATTGATTCAGCTCGAAGTGAAATTGAAACCACAGACCAAATCAATTGAATGAGTATAACTTCGATTTTGCCCGTTTGCTCAAGAATTGATGTCACATGCGTTGTACTGGAAATGAACACTAATTTTTGGGTCTAGAGAAGATGATATCATGCGCAGATCAATTTTGTGGATCGCTGAGACGTGTTATGCCTCTGATACCATGTTGAGCTCAAGAATCTAAAGGATGCAAATCTCCAGTTCAGCTTCAATGGAGGAAAGCTGGAAGCTTCAGGAGAATCGATTGAGAGAAGAAGAGGGCAGAAAGCAGAGTTGGAGTTTCTGATTTTGAGGAATGAAAACTCAAATATCATTATGCTGTAATGCATTAGTTATATAGTCAAACCTCTCTATAACAGTCTCGTTTGTTCCGAATATTTTTGTATTTTATAACGAAGTGTTGTTATGTAGAACATATATCATAACATAACATGAAAATTGGTTTTGGAAAAGCTTGCTTTTATAGTGAAGTGTTGTTATATAGGGATGTTATTATAGAGAGTTCTGACTGTATACAGGAATCACGACTAACTAACCAACTGAAAATGACAGCTAAGCTACAGTTAATAACTAACTAATGACAGCTAAGCTCCAGTGTTAACTACCTGCCCCATCAACGCTACAATGCCATATATATATATATATATATATTCAATGCCATATATATATATATATATATATATATATATCGAAGTGACTAAATACTAAATTGCGCCACCTAGTGTGGCGAGAGAGTGTAATGCCAGTGGTGAAGAGCCATGTTTTATTCTCAAGGGATCCTGAGTTCGAATCCGATTTGATACATCTTTTGAAATTGATTTACCATGCTGCATTTAGGACTCACACCATCTTGATAAAGAGTGCTTCATGTTCTGTTGGTTAGAAGCATCTTCGTAGCGTGAAGCTTAGTTTTGTTTATAGTAGTCGGAGGTTCAAAGCACAATAGAGTCAGAAAGGACAGACATAAAAGGGAGGGACTTGAGTGTGATTTTAATAAACATTATAGGTAGTATTCTCTGCGAGGTTGCTGCTAAAGATTCTGCATCAAAGGCTTCGAAGTAATGGCGGATCCAAGTTTGTAGCATAGGCTATGGATTCTATCTCTATCGAGTCACGAGGTTCTAAACTAAAATTGTAAAACCAATATATGGTTTGGACTTCAAAGTCTATTATCTTGTTATGCTCGCAGTACTAGTGCAATAACATCGTATGTTCCACTGTGATTTCGTTGTGATCGCGCAAGTTGAATAACCAGCCCTGAGGTATTGCCCTAGAAAGGGTTGGGGTAAGGTAGAGAGGTGTATACAGTAGAGCCCTTGAAAGGGTTGGAGTAAGGTAAAGAGGTGTTGTTCTTGTTGATATAGTTGACATTGTGTTTTTTATTTTGATGAACCGAATTGTGGTTCAACACGAAAGAAAGTTAGGGATGATTATTGCACCAATTCAATCACGGCGAGATAATGGTGCAATTCAAGCGCGGTTATGGCAGGATCGCAGCAGAAGTTGTGAACGACGTGATGCTAGCGCGGTCCGGAAGTGGCATGCGATTGCGAGTTCTGTTAGACTGTTACTAAGAAATACTTGGTTTGAGAGATACTTAGAATATATAAAAGGAGAATGTTCTTCTCTTTCATAATGGAAAAACTCTTATCTTAATGTAGGAACCTATTTAAATGCTTATACCTTTTCTTCTTCTCTATTTGCTTTCTGTGCTAGTTAACCATCATTATTCTGCAATAGATGTATCAGAAATTATACATTGAGAAGTTGTACAGCCAAATTAATTGCTTCTACTCCACAAACGAAGGAATATGTTGGTTGTAAGAGATGTAGATCCGTCAATCCAACAAATTGTTGAGCCAACTGGAGTCCGATCAGAAGCCAACGGGGATTCCGATATCAAGAGAGAGAGAGAGAGAGAGAGAGAGAGAAGAGAATGTGCAAAGGACTGGCCTAAAATTCATTGTTTATTCATATATACAATTATATTGTTACGTGATAGAGGCAAGTGAACGATGTCAACCCAAGCCTTGGACTGCCTCTTAAAGTTGTTTGTACCGCAACATCCATTCTTGTGGTTTGGTTACATATTACCTAATCCTATTCTGAGTAGGGATGGCAATGGGGCGGGTTGAAATTTTGTGGGTTAAAACAGAACCCGCCCCTCCCCGCACCATTGCCATCCCTAAATTTCTAAGGTTCAAAACCCATTCTACCAGAATATCTCTTCCTAACATATGCAAAAGAAGATTCCAAGACTGAAGTAGCATGTTAAGAACAAAATGAAAGAAAGGCTTTGAATGGAGAAATATGTTATGCAATATAACTTTGAACTAAAATTTGGATTCATCCCCTCTACTGTAGAGGCTCTACATAATATTCTGGAAAGTCTAGGAAAGAAAACTTTCAATCAAATGGAAGTGCATTTGTTCAGTAAAAACAATGGACTGCAGATGTAAAAACAACAAAAGGAAAAAAGAATCATCATCAAAATCACAAGCCCGGATACGGACTATGTATTCTCTTCCAAGAAAATGGAAACTTGTGTAGTCTTTATAATTAGAAACTAGTGTAGTCTAAGCTCAAAAACATCTAGTGCCATCGTCAGTATTACCAGAATTCAGCTCAAACTCTGGATGATATTGGAGACAGCTGAATAGGACCCGATAACTGCTGACATAGTACCTACTGTGATAATAAGGACACATACTGAAACCTGCATAGAAAAGGATAAGAGAAGAAGTTCCATTACAAGCGAATACTATTCGCTACACGGTTAAGTAGTTAAGTACTGTGCATATTGTCACAATGTCTCTGTTTTTGGCCTAGGATGTTTAATTTTTCAGATGATCAATAAAACATCTTAATAATAAGCTAAAAACGAAGTATAATTAAGTAGTCGAATTGACATAAGAGTAAATGAAGGACTATAACACAAAGAGGCTTTTGATCCATTTGGGCGACTAACAACTAAGAAAGATAAAAGAGAAGAGGTATGGGCTTTATAATATATCCAGATGCAATCAGATAAAAGTGAGTGCCGAAACTTCTCTATACCTGAAGGCGACTTGTTTTTCCCTTCAAGATTCTCAGGAAGCAAACACAAGGCAGTATCAGAGTCTGGAATTAGAGCTTACATTAGTACAAATTTATGATTGATAAATAACAACAGAAGACAAACTTAAGAGAATGCATAGAAGGACTCACCACTAGCATGGTAAGTAAAGATCCAATCAATGCCATCACCAAACCTGCAGGACAAATACTAATGCTTAATGTATGTAAATGCTACAAAGAGAAGGAGCATACATCTAGTTGGAAATGAAACCATCTGAAACATGCAATAACCATAAGTTATAGCAGGACCACTCAGTAGATTAGTTGCATTTGCGATTTACTGTTCTGAGGGGTTAACGGGATCAAAGGCAAATTGCTCAGAACGATAACAATAAGTGGAGTTATGGCAGGAAAACTCACCAAAAAAGGGAATAGAAAGACCAACCACTAATGTGGAGAATGCCAATGCAGTTCTAATGAGGATCGGGTACACGTGAGATTTGGCGTGCTTTGACGGCAACAATTCCTCCAAACTCATTGCCACAGGAGACAAGGTTAAAGCATATGTGTTTCAAATTAAGGAACAAATTTTTCAATCACAAGAAATTCTGGCTGTTAGAACAATTGCATGCTAAATCAAAAAGAACAGAATCTTTTGACAAGAAGTGCCTTAATTAAATTCTAGCTGATGACTTAGACTAATGCAAGAGCTAGGCATGAAAAAATTCAGGTGTTCATTCTTAATGTAGCAGAACTGGAAAAAGTAGGATTCTTGTCTGGTTTAAGTATCAGATTTTTTACATACTAGCTGAGGACCAGAATGGTGATAAATATAACCATCACGCATTCAGTAAAGGATATTTTGTGAAAGGATTAACGACCTGCAAAAGAAGGAGACAAGTTATAATTACATCATCTTCAAATGGTAGTAGAAAACTCGATCAGAAGGTTAGATATACTTACAGTTGTCCACACAGCAACCTTAGAAGCTATTAAACCTTTGGGCAAATTTAGAGTAAACTGGGAATCAGCTGAGTCCCCAAACATTAGGTATCCCATCACAGCTGTTCCACCATACAACAGAGTCACCATACCAAAACTGCATCCAAATTAAACCAAAGTTTGCGAAATTATAAGAAAAAACAGGATATAAAAACAAACTCCAGGAATATGCAGCATCATTTTCTAAGAATCTGGTGAAATAATTACCAGGTCAAGAGGACTGCAGGAAATTGACTACGATCCGCCAGGGATGTATATATATTGGGAAAGACCGCATGCCCAGAGTAACAAAATCCATAGAGTCCAATAGCAACAGGAAGAGTAGATAGGTTAAGTACAGTCCCTTTGCTTTCAAAGCCTACATGATCCACCAAACCAGCCCAGTACAAGCAAAGAACCACCAAAACAGACGCAACAACACCTCCAACTGAAAATTACAGTCATTCATTTCAGAATCATGTCAAAACTTCAGCAAAAATGGTTTCCAAGAATTCTGTGAACTTGTTTGTCAGGAGTACAAGAAATTTATATACATGCACACCAACTACCCACATATCCGCATTTTTCATGTAGGACCATGGTATGTAGGCACTGTTTCATGTATCGTCCTCTGACAATTGTATCAGCTTATAATTTTGGCAGTTCAGTGATGAAGCTAGCTCCTGTTGTAGGAAGTTGGTCACTCACCTGAGATGTAACTTAGAACGCTGAGGTCGCGCAGCCAAACAGTAGGAAGAACAGCCAGGGTTGCTATCAAAACAAAAAGATGGCGAGCATCTAACTCAAACCCACCCAGATTTAAATGGGCATTTGGAAATATAGATGACAAGTTATCGCCCTCCAAGATTATGTATTCAATACAAGAGAACTGCGAGTGAAAGATAAAAAGATTAGAATGAGAAAGCGTAAATACTAAATAATTTAGAAATGAAGCATACATCAAGATGGTGGCAAGACACTTAGATATTAAAAATGCAACTCATACTGTTTGTTAGGAAAAATGAAAAGAACCAATTTTTAGGTTAGAAGAACTTACGTATAATTCCACATATAAGATTATCTGCATCCACAAAAATACAACAATATAAAAAAGAGTCAGTATTAGGAACTAGAAATGTTTCTAAACGTACATAAGACATAAGCTATTTAGCCAGAATAATAAAATAAAAATATCTAATCTCGGTATTTGTATAAGAAACATGTTTCTACTCTAGTCAATAATACTACACGGCTATTTAGCAAATGAAGATCATATTTCCCTTCAAAGAGTAGTTTCTATAGTTACTGGATCTTAATAGTGTGGCAACATCTGTAAAACTATCAAACGACCTAGATTCAGAATACAGTTAGAACTTGACACCAGAAATGTTCCTTCAGAATGAAAGACAAGTTAAATTAATGCGACTTACTGATATAAAAATACGTCCGGGTGTACCAAATGCAGCCTGACCAATGTCAGGATACGTTTCGAGCCCAGGTTGGCTATCCAAGCAGGATCTCAGGAGAATGCCAGTATAGAAAGAAAGCACACCAAAAATGAATAATATTGAAAGTCCAGACCATCCACCTTCCTTCATAGCATAAGGAGTAGAAAGGATTCCTACTCCACAGAGAACATTCATGCCTGTATGAAACCAACCAAAGCAGGAAAAGGCAGAATAAATTGGATTGGGAAGTAATACCACTCCTAGACCCCCTAATATAAGACACGATCCTATAAAGAATGTGTGAAAACTGAAACTTCCACATGAAAGTATATATTGAGAGAACTTACCATTTATCACAGCTTGGCCGTAGGAGCTTTGGCGAGACATGGTAATTCCATGTGCATCCTTGGAGGGTTCAGGAATTTTCTTCATCGAAGACTTCCTGGGGTGTATGGGAGGCAGCAAACCATGAGAACTACGTCTGTGAGCTGGTTTCTCTTCTTCTGCTGACGGTATCAGAGGCTTCTGAAGAGAGGGCAATATCTCAGGAGTGTGTCTTCTTATGAGTGATGAGCCCAAGAATGAGCTCCCTAGACGAGATAACGAAGGTGTTCCCAAAAAGTTAAGACTTGGAGATGGTACATTACTGAACATATCCATAGATTGCCTACAAAAATTATTACAATTTGGGACCTTAATTCACAGGCTTACGATCAACATTAAACCGAAATCTAACAGTGTGCTTACGAAGTTAATTCTAATGAAATTCAAACAATTCAATGAAAAGGTGAATATATATAAATACCTATAACTCTGAGGCCAAGCAGAGGTTAAGGAATTAGGTTTACTCTGCTGGCGATTATTTTCGTCATCATTATCATTTGAGTAATTGGAAAAATCAGATTCATTCCCTTCTTCTTCATTCTCATCTTTTCCCAAATTCTTCTCCTGTTCATCATCCTCTTCCTCACTCTCTATGTAAAAACTCTGTTCTGATATAGAATTCTTCATCTTTTACTTAAATCCCCAACAAAACCTACATAACAAAATGTAACATAAATAATGGAACCAGAAAATCCAATTAATTAGTTCCAATTTGCTATATCTACATACATACATACATATAATACATGCAATGTGCAAAATCACACACTTGCGGTGAATAAATAAAAGACCAATATGTAAACACATAATTATATAAAAAGAAAGGGAAAATGAGTGATAACTCAGAATCAGAAACCAGATTTGAAATTGGGTTGAATTTGAGAAACCAAACAAGGAGAAAATATAACAACTATAATTAATGTAAAAAGTAATGGATTAATGACTAACAAAAAATGTTGAAAACTTTCAACTTTTTGGAGGAAAGTTGCAAATTCAGATCCGAATTTGCAGATTCGAGAATTATGGAGTTATGTCTCTCTCTCTCTCTCACACACACACACATACACACACAGAGAGAGACACACACAACAAAAGAGAAAAAGACATACACAAAACACAACACTTTCTATAAAAGGAAATATACAGACATTTCTAGTAGAAAATCAAGAAGATTCAAGAGATATGAATGTCTAAAAAGGAGTAATTATGGGTTTACACGTTGCTGTTCAAAAGCTCCAAATTTTGGCTTTTCAAGATTCAGAAACTTGACTTTCTCTGAGAAAGATGTAAAGCTTTTTCTTTTCCTCTTTAACAACTTGGAAAAAGTTGAGCTGACACTAGATTTGAAAGTGCGATTTGTACAACTATTTATACACGTAAAAGTAGGAATGAGAGAGAGGATTTGAGGAAAATGCGTATTTTTATGCTGTTTTGAGAAACAATAATGTTTCCGAGTTGGTTTTGGAAAGTAATTTTAAGTTGAACATGGTCCAATCACAAACAGCCTCATGACTACTTGTATTTTGCCTTTTTTTTTTTTCTTTATTTGAAAATATGTTTAGAGAAAATATAAAATTATTTGGTCGGTTTTATTATATTCATTCTCAAACTTTAATAACATTTCTTATAGTATCTGTTGTTTTTTTTTTGCTTCGATTATCTTATTTTCTCGCCGTACGTGATTATGGATTTTTCTATGTCGTATTTTCTTTTCTAAACTGCTGCGATCGGCGACGGAGGCAGAATTTCGCTAAGGGTTCAAAAAAAGAAAAAAGTTAGAAAATTAGAAGAGATAGCGACCAGTGGGAATTGAACTAGTGATCTCACAAAGGTTTTGAACCCTCTTGATCACTAGGATATGCTTTTGGGCTATGTCAAGGGGACTCAAAATATAATATATAGAGATAAATAATAGATTTTGCCTTATATGTACAATATAATTTTCCGGCGAAGGGGATCAGGTGAACCCCTTCTGCCCTCTAGATCCGCCCCTGGTTGCGATGATAGGTCCACTTATAATATAACTTGTCTTAAATACGATATTGTTTTGAAAATTGAGATGCTTTTCCCTTAAGCATATTTGTATTTATTGACTTGATTGAGTATCGCATAGGTAGGAAGGCTTTGATCCGACGGCTGAATCAAGTGTCACCGGACCGCACGAATCTTATGGCAACGGTCCAAGAAATTCTGGGCATCAACGAAGGTGCACCATTAAAGTGAAGGGAAAACAACTAGGTGAACCTATCCAACCTCTTTAACTCATTAGCTAACATAGGGGGTTGTCTCCGTGTTGTGTGGCAATAATAGGCCAAACCACCCCAACTAGTAGAACTCCTAGTGTGATAACCATGGGCCATTATTTACTCTGGGCTATGAGTAGCGGGAGTCTGAACTCCTCCCGATCTGAGAAGTGGCTGATGCTATGGGAAACACACCGGTCTGAGCCATACTATCTATTAAGCCAATGATCGCCTATTACACGACTTATTATTTTTAATTTATTTAACATTTGAGTATCTATTTGTCGATGGTTTGACGCATTTATACAATACAAAACCACCTCCAACTCACTTAAAAGGATGCTAGTTCATTAAAGGGCGCGGGGTTCGGGGAAGGGCCCTACCACAAGGGCCTATCGTACGCAGTCTTACCCTGTGTATTTTGCAAGAGGCTGTTTCCACGGCTCGAACCTGTGACCTCCTGGTCACATGGCAGCAACTTTACCAGTTACCCCAATGCTCCCCTTCAAAGAAAATTCTTTTTAATCTAGCGAGTTCATTTTTGTGTAGAAAATCCAAATTCTCTTTCATCATTAGCTACCAAATTAAGTCATTAAGAGAAGTGCGATTTCCTTAAGACTACATTAAATGTCACTTTGTTTAGTTTGCACGTCTCTTTCATATTTTATTCTTTGCATTCAAAAAAAGAAATAAATTTCGTTGTTGTCTAAATAATAAATATTCGTAATTACGAGCAAATTTTGTTTTTTCAATTTTAAAAGGGGATTCAATAAATAAGACTTTCGTATGAACATTTATATTTTAACGTTTATAGACGCTTTTAATTAAAAATCAATTTATGCATCATTAATTAGTAATACATGTCGAAATTAAAGTTTTTACTTTAATAATATAAATTTTTCTTTCATAGTTCACCCTTATTTGGAAAACGTAGTAGCATTTTCATGAAAGCGAATCCCATATAATGTTACTCGTTAAAGTATTGTCCTTTTAAAATAAACTGAATTTTGAAGACAAGTTAGAAGAGAATGAAAAGCCAGATAAGGAATTCGTTGCCCTTTCATTTGCGGCTTTGGACATTCTCATGACAATTCTATGTGAAAAACCCACTGAATTCCAGCTACATAACAAACAGGTCTCTTTGTATAAATCTCAGCCTTTTAAATTGGCGAAATGGTCTCGTAGCCACTTAAATTTGTATGGGATTTTAAAGCCGATACATGAACTTATATTGCTCCCATTTGAATACTCAAACTTACGTATCCGGTAGCTAATAAACCTATTTGACCGTTGACCATGCACATATCATAGTGACAGAGATGATGTGGACAAGGTGTATGCAAGCCACGAAAATTACGCGCGTGACTGCAATAGTTTTGATTTAAATATCTAAAACCAGAAAAATAATTCAAATAAAAATGAAAGAAAATAAACTAGACCCACTTCCCCCATCCCCGCAAAATTCCCTTTCCAATTCCAAATATTAATTTCCAGAGCCTCATCCACCTCCTCAACATCCCCGTATCCCTTCTTCTCACATATTCTCTCCGCCGTCTTATCAAACGCCGCCGCCACATTCACCGCCGTTTTAGCAGAAGCTTCAATAAACAATCATCCATTACTCTTCGCGAATTTCCTCGCCTTCCTCTGCACTAACAGCCCTAATATTTTCTTCGGCTTCACACTTGTTCCCCACCACTATTACTGTCGTGTCGCCTTGTTGCCGTATATCTTCAAGCCAACTCGACAGCCACTCGAAAGTGTGCCTTTTAGTCACATCGTAAACAAGCAAAGTTCCTGCGGCGTCTCTGTAATATGCTCTCGTAATTGACCGGAATTTCTCCTATCCCCCCGTGTCCCATATTTGAAGCTTGAATAGAAGTGAAAAATGGAATGAATTTTATGAAAGTTCATGACTGATTGAGCATATGATCAAGTGATGGCTGAGATCTTTCTCACAATGGTGGCGATAAAAGGTGTAGAAGGAATAATGAAAGAAATAAAATAAGAAAGAAATTTTGATAAATTAATTATAAAAAAATGGGACCCAATGATGACACGTGTAAAACAATAAATGGTCTTAGTATTTGACGTGTTCTTTTTGTCAGGCAATTGAGCTACACGCTCTGACGAAGGGGTTTATTTATAATCAACTGGTTGAGTTGAGGTGCTAAAATGGGAAAGTCAAAGTTTATATATTGGCTTTAAAATCCGGTACAAGTTTAACTGGCCAGGAGGTCATTTTGCCTTTTAAATTTCATTCTTTTTTCTTCAGAGAATTCATATGATAATAACTTTACGAATCCTAATTTTTGTACGCATCTGACACATCAAAAGCACGATTATGATTTATGATGTAGTTCAAAACTTCAAATTTTAGATTCCGTGACAATAGGTTTTGAGGTTGACGATCAGAGGTGGACCCAGGATTTGAAGGTGGCGGACGCATGTGAATAAACTGCTTGACCAGTTTCCTGATCGGACTTTGATTTTAAGAGTTCCAAGTAAAATATATGACCGTTTTCACATACACACACACGCATATATATATATATATATATATATATATATATATATATATATATATATATATATGTATAAAATTTTGTCGAGGATAACGGGGTCCGGTGACCCCTCTGCTCCACACATAGTCCGCCTCTATTGACAACCTACACTCTTGGACTTCTCGAATTAGGTATATGGTCAAACCTTTCTATAACAATTTCGTTTGTTCCGATATTTTTAGTTAAGTGTTGTTATAGAGGACATATATTATAACATAAAATAAAAACCAGTTCGAATTTTTTTGGCTTTTATTAATGTATACGGTCGAAATCGGAGAGCTCGATTTCGATGACTCAACGGAACACCGGGACTCGAGTTCGGGCAGCACGAAGTAAAGACCAGAGCTGACTGGAAAATGCGTACCTCGAGAAAATCGTAGACCCGGCGTCATCTTCCTCGAGGGCAGTACAATTTCGATGGCACTCAAGAAAGAGCGGGAATTTCTCAAGGACACGTGGGTCAGAGTATGAAATAAGGGATAAGATTTGTACGAAATAGTACAAGTCCATACTAGGTTGTTATACAGCTGTACCAATAGAATTCTTTGCCATAATTGAAAATGTACCATATTAGGGTTTTCCCCTTCTATATAAAGGGGACCCCAATCTTTGTAAAAGACATTATTATTCGCTGCAATAGAATATTCTACTCTGCCTTTCTCGTTTGCTGTGCTCGACAATTGTTCTTCAGCTTTATTGTCTTTACTTTATTGTTCATCTTTGTTCGCTCTTAACTCACCTCGAGGCCCCCGAGACAATCGAGCTCGAGGCCCCCGTTGCTCTAACAACACTGGTTTGGTTCATCAATTCTTCCCACCTTAACTTAATATAACTCTTACATTCACTAGTATTAGAATAAATCACATATATTTAAAACCACAAATTATTTTTAATTGTTACTCACGTTTTTCGAGCTAAAAAGTTTGGCGCCCACCGTGGGGCTAAAGATAATAGTGATTATTTTAGTGCTAGTTTTCTGATAACACACGTTGTTCTTCACACTTTTTCTTGTCAAAGATTCTTTGATTTCAGGCTAAGATATGTCTAGCTTAGCAGACGCACTAGTGCATGAAAACGACGGTCTCGGATCTCATGGAGAAAACAATGCCACAGCTACAGGGACCGGTGACCGCTAAACCCTGGGGTAGCACCAGCGCCAAACCCCGTCGATGTTGGCCCCACATTGCCGTGAACGTCGATTTGGACACTGATGTCGAAGGAAGTGTACGCGGAGGGGATCAACCTGACGCTCAAAGGACACATGCTCAAGGAGAAAGAGAAGTTAGTCTACAAGTGATTTTTGAGATGTTGCAAGCGCAACAAGTTTCTATCGCTTAGTTGCAAAGTCAACAAAAGACTCCGAGCGTGGCTGGGCCAGAAACCGCTCATCGTGTTGAGCCAACCCCGGAAAGATCGAGCAACGACGGTTCAGGAACTGACCCCACCGTCATGAAAATGCTCGAGGAACTCACGAAGAGGATCGAGTCAGGAGAAAAAAGAATTGAGGACAACGACAAAAAGGTGGAAACATACAACTCGAGGGTCGACCAAATACCGGGAGCACCTCCGATTTTGAAAGGACTGGACTCAAAGAAGTTCGTGCAAAAACCATTCCCCCAAAGTGCGGCTCCGAAGCCCATCCCGAAGAAGTTTCAGATGCTAGACATCCCAAAATACAATGGGACCACTGATCCTAACGAGCACATCACCACGTATACTTGTGGCATCAAAGGAAATGATTTGGAAGACGATGAGATTGAGTCCGTATTGCTAAAAAAGTTTGGGGAAACTCTGTCTAAGGGTGCCATGATTTGGTAACTTACCCCCGAACTCTATTGATTCGTTTGACATGTTGGCAGACTCATTTGTAAAGGCACATGCTGGTGCCATAAAAGTCGCAACGAGGAAGTCCGATGTATTCAAAATAAAGCAAAAGGAGAACGAAATGCTGAGAGAATTTGTTTCTCGCTTCTAGTCAAAGCGGATGGAGTTACCGCCGGTCTCCGATGACTGGGCCGTACAAGCCTTCACTTAGGGACTAAATGAACGAAGTTCGATGGCTTCGACGCATCTGAAGCAGAACTTGATCGAGTATCCCGCTGTGACTTGGGCGGATGAGCATTACAGGTACCAATCAAAAATTAGGGTCGAGGATGATTAGTTGGGAGCCCCCTCGGGCTCAGTTTACCCAAGCAGGTTACTAGCAAAGGGGTCAGGAAATGCAGACAGGGAGTCAATGCCGAATAAGGAAAGATATCAACCTTACGTCGAGGATCGAAGAAACATCTCAAGGCGTAATATACCTCGGAACGATCGAAGAGAGGATCGAGGTCAGAGTTCCCGGGGACTCATGAGCAAAACCGGGTTTTGATAGGCACTCGGGACCGGCAGAAGCACCCCGACTATCAGAGTACAACTTCAACGTCGATGCCTCGGGTATCGTCTCAGCCATTGGCAAAATTAGAGATACTAGATGGCCCAAGCCTATACAGACGGATCCTTCTCAGAGGAACCCCAACTTGATGTGCAAGTATCTTGGTACTCATGGGCATAAGACCGAGGATTGCAGGCAGCTCAAAGAAGAGGTAGCCCGGTTGTTCAACGAGGGGCATCTTCGTGAATTTCTCAACGACCAGGCCAAGAACCATTTCAGGGAAAGAGATGCAAACGGGAAGAAGGAACCTGAAGAACCTCAACATGTTATTCACATAATCATCGGTGGAGTCGACGTCCCACAGGGACCCATATTCAAATGTACCAAAGTATCCATCACCATGGAGAAGCGGACTCGGGATTACATGCCCGAGGACACCCTCATATTCAGCGAGGAAGACATCGAGGCCTTATCTCATCCTCACAACAACGTATTAGTAATTTCTATCCTTTTAAATAAAGTTCAAGTTAAACGTGTTCTCGTGGATCAGGTAGTTCGGCAAATATTAATCAGGTCGAGGGTCGTAGAGCAGCTCGGGTTGCTCGATCAAATCATAACGGCACCTCGAGTCTTGAATGGCTTCAACATGGCAAGTGAAGCGACAAAGGGAGAAATCATCCTCCCAGTCAGCGTGGCCGGAACCATACAAGATACCAAATTTTATGTCATCGAAGGTGACATGAGGTATAATGCTTTGCTTGGAAGGCCATGGATCCATAGCATAAGGGCAGTGCCATCGATCCTTCATCAAATGATGAAGTTCCCAACAAAGGATGGCGTGAAAATAGTGTATGGAGAGTAGCATGCAGCTAAGGAGATGTTTGCAGTACACGACTTGGCGCCGGTATCGACACCATCCACATCGGAAAAATAAAAGAACGAAATGGTGACCAAATAGCAATCACAGCCCATACCCTCGGTTGAGCTCGAGGGACAGGCGATCGATGAACAGGTGGTCGAGGACTACCTAACAATTGGAATATATCATTGCTCAAACGCTATTACTGCTGAGGTATGATCTTCTCCCCTTTTCCATTTGTATTTAAAACTAACTCCTTGCAGATGTTCGTTTGGAAACTCCGAGGCACCTCTCAGCTCGAAGAACTTGGGTTTTAAAGCATGCGTTGCACTCTTTTTCCCTTAGATCGGGTTTTATCCCAAATGGGTTTTACCGGCAAGGTTTTTAGCGAGGCAACATCTGTATGCTACCCAAGAAATATTCAACAAGTATTCACGGTTTCTTTTCAATCAACCTCGAACACTGGGGGGCATCACCCTCGGAGGATGCATTCTCGAAGAAAGCAATTCAAATCACCCTCAGAGGATGCATTCTCGAAGAAAGCAATTCATGCCAAGGGAGGCCTTGATAGGGGAATGTTGTAATGGGCCAAACGGTCAAATGAACCGTGTCCATATAGAATAATCAATCCCCCAGTGGCAAAACATGTATGCGTGTATCAAGTATTTGAAAATATATCAAAACACTTTGTGCCTCAAAGAAGTCCATTATTTTCACATTTAACGGCTCGAGGGCCATAACCCCGAATGCACCTGAATACTCGGGGACTGTTATCGATAATAGACACATCGAGTCATCAAACACTCGAACTTATAAGACCTCAAAAAGGCACATTCGAGCTCACAAGACCTCAAAGAGGCATCTCCTCGATATTAAGGCCAAGGCCATCACACTCGGGGACTAAAGGCTACGGCCACATAAAAGACTACGGTCATATAAAAGGCTACAGCCGAAATAATGCGGCTCGGAGACGTCCGATTTCTGCCATAAAAAAGGCCTTCATATACTTCGAAAAAACCAGTTAAATTAGGCTACCCTCAGCAAAAGCAAATTATAAGGGGCTTCGATATATTCAGCCCTCGAATAACGCGAAGGCTTCGATAACATCAGCCTTCGGAAAAACCTCAAGAGGTATTTGATTAACATTGCATATCAAATTACAAACAAGGTTCCAATCAATCGAACCTTCAAGAAACCCAAACGGCTACAAAAAACACATGCCAAGGCATACAGAATTTTCACTAAGTCTTTTAGCTGAAAAGAGGGAAAATTATAGCCATTTTGGAGGCCGAATCGCCCCAAATTAAAGAGCCTAAGGGCCGATGTATAAGATCCTAAGAGCCAATAGTAAAAAAAAAAGAGGCCTAAGGGCCAACTTTATTTCGAGATCGAGCAAGTGCCCACTCGACCCCCAAGCCCAAGGGCTACCAGAGTTCGAGAAAATTCTTACTCGGGGACTATCTACGAAGCCTAAAGGCTAACTTTATTTCAAGTTCGAGCAAGTACTCACTCGACCACTAAGCTCAAGGGCTATTCGAGCTCGATGAAAATTCTCATTCGGGGACTATCCACGGAGTCTAAAAGACAACTTTGTGTCCAACTCGAGACCTTGCTCTCGCTCAACAAGGACCCAAGAATTCCTACTCACATCAATTTAAGCATAGCTCAATGGCTAACGAAGGCCTCAAGGAATATTACATTGGTCGGTTAGAAACCCAAAGGTCGTCATGACCCAAACCAGATTTCGAACCGGTCATTTAAATTACGAAATCGAATTCTCAACAAATATGAACAAGATTCAGCGCAAGCAAAAGACGAGAGAAGTTAAAATCCTTTTATATTTCCAAGAGATAGTTACAAAGTATATTTACAACGCCCACGAAGGGTCCTTACGTAGGAATAAGGAAGCAATAACAAAGCCAAGAACCTAATCTACTCTTAGGGCCACATCCGCGAGAGCGGCGCCTTCGGGAACCTCCTCCGAGACAACAATAGGTGAAGAAAAGGCTATAGCCTATCGAGAAGCAAAAGCTTTTAACGAGCGGAGAAAATTGTGGCCTGGTGAAAAACTTGGCAAGTATGGGTCTTGTCAGCACAACTATCCTAAAGCGACTCACTGAGACGATGTACCGGTGTGGGATGCAAAAGTTAATAGATGA